TCAAACTCACCGAAATTTTTTCATTTTTAATTGTAATAACATACAACTTTACTTTTAACTTTGTGTACGTTTTTTTGTCATCACATGAAATATTTTTTTTCGTTAAAATTATGTAAATAATCCTTTAATTTTCTAAAAATTTTATTAAATGAATTTTACTTTATTTATTCCTTTTTTTAATAGGCTCTTTTATGTACAACTTTTATATTATTTAATAATAATAACAATAGCAATATTTAAAAATTATACATTTTATTTTTATTATTGTAACTGTGTTTTGCCCATACTGTCTTTAGGAAAAAAAAAAGTTATGTATGTATGATTTACAAAATCTAATCCTTTTTTTATTTGAAATCAGGAACGAGGAGACATATAAGCTCTAAAATATCCAAAAAAAGCAATTCAATAACAAAAATTGCTATTTATGTAATAAAAGAATTTATGTAATAAAAAAGAGTTTATGTAATAAATGAGTAGAACATCCTCCCCCCCGCCCCGAAAGAAAATCCTGGATGCAAGGATTTAACATCAACATTTTGTTAATTTCATCAAGTTTGAAAAACAAATAATCTTAACGCAACAATCCTGCCGCCAACAATCTTTCTGTAGAAATTCTTATCCGATTGTTATTCAATTATATACTTATATCATCATATTTTACATGAAATTAGACATTGCCTTTATTCATGTCCATCTCGTAAAATTACCGTTTTCGCAGGTGTGCAATCTGCTTTTCGGCAAATTCATGATGCAATACGGATTGAGACACTCGTAAGACGTAAGGTTTAAGGTAGGCGCAGTGGCGTAGAAACGGACAATACTCCGCTGATGGAAAAAAGCACCGCTTACATTGAATATCTTGGAGTGCCCAAGTTCACGTCGAGAAACTACAGAGCAGTACTTGCACTGGTTGTGCTAACTAAAGTCTGAACATGATTGTGGACATTGTTAAATGTTTATATTTCTCTAAACGACAGCAAGAAAACTGCGGTGTCAATACAATAAGAAATTACGTCCGCAGGAAATGTTGAATTTTAATGCGATCAGTTTCGACATTGCTTTGAGATTATTCATTGTTTTAATGAAGAACGAACTCCGTAAAATATCGACACAATAAAAAATTTTCGAATAGATTTTTCATTTCATTAATTTTTATCGCATTTGCTTTTGATTTTTCGTCGGTATTTTCAGAGACACGAAGAAGAAAGGATTGTCGCGAATTTCGAAGGTGCACGGCGCACCAACGAAATGTCAAAATAAGTGTGTCCGCGCCAATGGGCGCGCGTGTTCGCGCGCGGCCGTCGCTAGCCGCTAGCGTCGCGTCAGTTCGATCGCGGAGCGGCGAATCAAGTCAAAGGGTAGGAGATGGTGGTGAGCGTACCGGTGAGCGCGGTCATAAGAAACGAGCGGCAGCCGGCAGCGGCAGTTCGGCAATTGCGGCCCAGCACGTAAGGTGTATATGTGTATCCGTCGCGTGAGACGCTTCTTGCCACGTGGTGATACGCGACCGCGTGCGTTTGCAATTTCTTTCTTTTTCTGTTCTTTATCCATTTTCCGCTCTCGTTTATCTTTCTTAGCTTCCGCTTTCCCTCCGCCTTGCCCACATATGTCACCGCTAACCGTACCGCATGCACTCGCGGTAGTGCCCACGCGGCACGCCGCGGCAACCGTTGCCCGAGCACTCCGAGTAGTCGCGTGAAAACGTGCGTGACACTCGCGCGCGCGCGCGCGCGCGCGCGTACACGCGCGTGCTCCGATTTCGAAAAGAACTTTTAACACGACGCACGGAAGATGCCGGACAAGGTAGCGCCGGCGGAAAAGTCGGTATTGTCGCAGTCCAAAGCTGCGAGATCCAACAGTGACGAAGGTATCAAATTGAAAAAGGAATTGGGTTTGTGGAACGGCGTGGCGATCATCGTCGGTATCATCGTCGGCGCCGGTATCTTCGTGTCGCCCAAAGGCGTGCTTAGGAACAGTGGCAGCGTCGGCCAGGCTCTCATTGTCTGGATTTTTTCCGGGATCCTGTCGCTTATCGGAGCCCTATGTTACGCCGAGCTCGGTAAGTGATGAAATTTTGTAGAACGGTTGCTTCGAAATTTAAAATAACGCGCTCGATGTGGAAGGGGAGGCGGGATTAGTATTCCGATTCCGTAATGGCTCCCGCACACAGGACGTAGCAACGCGCTGTGGAAATTGGCGCAATCATCAATTAATCATATTTTTGCTTTTATGGAAAAGCAATAAATTGATTGGCTACTGGTGTTCTGTGCCAAGAGCTATAAAGTCCATTCTACAATTGCGTAAGCGTAGTTATAAGTGGTTGCAGTTGTAAGAATTAACCAATCACAGTCAAATATATGAGGAAATTATTCGACTACGTTTACGCAGTTGTAGATCAAGCTTAAGAATTCTCCGTGATTTTAGAATTCTTAAGCCTGATCTACAATGGCGTAAACGTAGTTGTAAGTGGTCGTTGTAATAATTTACCAATTATAATCGGATATTCTCCTCGTCTTCAAGTATAATTGATCAATTCTTATAACTACAACTACGTTTATGCAATTGTAAATCGGACTTTACAACTATGCCCGCACTTACAACCACGTTTACGCAATTATAGATCAAGCTTAATTAAGGATGCCTCCTCAGGATATTCAGAATTTCAGAAAACGAAATATCGTAAAAATAATATGATCAATCAGAATTATTTAACTAATAGAAAATAGGATAAAGGCCCATAATGGTCGGAACAGGATCTTTAATGCTTACAAAATTTAATGTGGATTTGTATAGGGTAACTCCGGTATATACACCGCACCTATCAAAAACTTAATTTATTAAGTATTATTTACTATATTTAAAATAAACGAACTATATCAGTAAAAACTTTGTACTGTCTACTACTATGAAAAAAATATTAGCACTTGTATTTTGCTATACAACATGCTTTACTATTCCTATACACTATTCCTATGTATCACGAAATAACCACTAGGTCTTTTACACGACTTACAGTAACCATTTTATGTAGATTATAATTTATGATGCTACTTGTTACACACACAGTGACAAATCGATTCAACTCACAATAATTTCATTAATATTAACAGTAAGAAGCTGAAATTATAACTCAATACTAATATAATATAAAGGCATGTAACAGAGCAGTTGCGAGAAAATTACCCCCCACTCCTTCTATTTTTTCTGACTTCCGCGGCGTAAATCCCAACGCGGCGTATATACCGGAGTTACCCTATATTATACTGAGAAAAAATGTACTAAATTTTAATAAATAATTGTTTGAATAGTACTCATATAACATTTATTTACGGAAAATAAATATTTGCTAAATAAAATATAATATAATAGATAAATCAAATTAATGATTCTTGTACCAAATAAATATATGTTTACGTTTATGCTACATTCCTCACTTCCAAATAAGTTGCGAATAACCTTATCCAGGAAATATTCCCATTGTATTCTGGGAGATATCTCTTGGATAAAGTTATTTAGAGGTGAGGAAATTGGGCATTAGTAAATATTTAACTGGCACTATTCAAACAAATATTTACTAAAATTTAGTACATTTTTCTCTTTGAATATTATATTTTTATAGTACTATACTAGATTTTTATACTATTCGGTACTACTTTAGTTCTTGTTACTTTTTAATTGAATATTATATTTTTATAGTACTATACTAGATTTTTATACTATTCGGTACTACTTTAGTTCTTATTACTTTTTAAAACCAGTTGCAAGTATTTAAATTTTAGAGTTGTACTTTATAATTGCTATAACTATTTTTTTCCTCCGGAAACGCGCCAAAAGGGTAAGTTGGCTATTTTAAAAGATATCGAAAAGCGATCAACGGCATTCGAAAGAGGATCGTTTGAACTGTGCGCCGAAATTTTATCTGACTTAAAAACGCAACTAATCTATTGAAATAATATCACAATTAAATTTTAATGCTCAATAGGCATCTATTAAAGAAATCCTAATAAGCTGGAAATCTGTAAATAAATTTATTTATCGCGAAAAATGTTACCTTGGCTGGAAGTCGAACCCGAATCTCATTTCATGCGAGCGTTCTAAGCCTTTAGACCACCGAGGTCTTACAATTAGTAATATTTCTCAGAATAATTAGTAGATATACGGAAACAACATCTTTCTTTATGGTAACGTAATATAAACAATAAGAATCTTATTAAACCGTACATGTGAAAACTCAACCAATAAGAAATAGGATGAAGGTCCATAACAGAGAATTATTTAAGTTTGAATAATTCTCTGTTAGTCTTGAATGACCACTAATATGGTATATATGCATGTACATATATAGTACATATAAATTCACATTGAATTATTTAAGCATTAAAGATTCAGCTTCGATTGTTATGGACATTCATTCTATTTCTTATTAGTTGAGTTTTCACATGTACGATCTAATAAGATTCGTATTATTTATACATTACATTGCCAGAAAAAAAGACATTGTTTCCATACATATACTGATTATTGGAAATATTACTAATCGCACTAATCTGGCCGTATATTTCTTTTTTGGAAATCCGTTTTTCGAAATTCCGATTATTATAGGAAAGCACTCTTAAGGATCGTGATACTAGACCCGTTCGATGTAAACCTCAATATCTAACATAAGAATGAATTCTAAAAGAAATATTTTCATACAAAAATAAATATACAAATTATGAATGTACTAAAGGAGAAAAATGTATTATATTAATTATGTTATATTAACGAAAACAAAAAATAGATATTATATAGCAATTCGCAATGTTTACGTTTTGTTACAACGCGGATAAGATCTACGAAAATTTTTTTAAACAACAATGTAGTTAATATCATTAGAGTGTAAATTTGAAAAGTAGTAATTATGTAAATTGGATGACTTTGTAGGGATATATCGTTCTATGGCATCGTAATTTTACATATTATTATAATTTATCATTATGAAATATTATCATATTATTTTATATATCTTTTAATACACATTATGTACATGAAGAAAAACGGAGTAGTTCTACACGAGACAAAATAATATTTTCCTTAAAAACAGTTTCTCTTAAGGATCGTGATACTAGACCCGTTCGATGTAAACCTCAATATCTAACATAAGAATGAATTCTAAAAGAAATATTTTCATACAAAAATAAATATACAAATTATGAATGTACTAAAGGAGAAAAATGTATTATATTAATTATGTTATATTAACGAAAACAAAAAATAGATATAATATAGCAATTCGCAATGTTTACGTTTTGTTACAACGCGGATAAGATCTACGAAAATTTTTTTAAACAACAATGTAGTTAATATCATTAGAGTGTAAATTTGAAAAGTAGTAATTATGTAAATTGGATGACTTTGTAGGGATATATCGTTCTATGGCATCGTAAGTTTACATATTATCATAATTTATCATTATGAAATATTATCATATTATTTTATATATCTTTTAATACACGTTATGTACATGAAGAAAAACGGAGTAGTTCTACACGAGACAAAATAATATTTTCCTTAAAAACAGTTTCAAATGTAAAAGATAATATAAATAAATATATATAATATTAATAAATAGGCTACTATTTTTTTAAATAATAATTTTTTCACATTAATATTACCCCTAAAGTTGTCTTTAAAAAGAATTACTACATTAAAAAATTCTTTATTCTCTGTGCTATATTTATTAATCGTAATTTTTTATGACTTGATAACTTA